TATTTTAGCCCTCCAGCTGAAACACAAGAAAAGGAAGCGATGGGAATTGAACCGGGGACCTAGAGATCTCCACGGTTCAGCGCACACACAGTGGCTGCCACCAGACTAACGGACTGAGCAGCACTGTCGGGTAGACAATTGATAATACAGTAGTACAAACATGCGAGTATCTTGATTTTGCTGGAGATTCATTATTTTCAGGGAGAATCTTGCTTGCAGGAATGCGAGATTTCTGGGGACTTGGGACCCCTGGAGAATAATGCTAATTCGTGTTCAAAATACTGTACAGTAATTAGCTATTGGGCCTAAAGCCTTTAGTCTGTTTGAAAAATATAAAAAACAAAAAGCGAAGAGCACACCGATCTTCATGGAATAGTGCTATATAAGCCTGTCTCTTATACACATCTAGATGTGTATAAGAGACAGATATTGGGGGATGATACAATGGACCATTCCCCCCCCCCTTGCCAAATATTGGGGGAATATATATCCCCATCCCCACCCCTCCCCGGGATCTATGCCTATGTGAGAGTGACTCTAGAGTGGTCGACATCAGGACATATCTCCGACTTTAAACTGAAGAAACATTAAACTATGTTAATTTTAGAACAAGTATACAGCCTGTCTCTTATACACATCTTATATATATAAATTACGAGACCTATATCCTGGCCTAGGCCTATATGGTAATTATACATTATAGGCCAAATCAATATTTGTATATTATAGGCAGGTTATTATGTTACAACTAAAATTAAATGAAAAAAAATATATATAAATAAATCTAACGGAGAGTTAAATAGACAATTTAACCATTGGGATGCGTACCGGTACTTAAGTACAAATAGTCTGGATGTCACTCCAAAAATGACAAGGCAATTTTATTCAACTTATATTTCACTTATATTTAAGTATTATCAATAATAATATTTGCACAGCCTGTATAAATACGAATGACAATGAAAATAAAGGTGATGTTTTATAATCTTTAAAATGATTTGCTGTTTCTATTGCATACTATTATATACCGTAATTACTATAACTTTATTTTGGAAACGACGCTTTTAAAACAGCAGACAGTGTGTTCATAAAAGTAACATACAGTACAGCCATAATACAATATTAAAACAGAGACTTTTAATACAATAATATACGGTACACAATTACACAAGTTGAATATATCACAGATTCTGTATGTCATTTACAGCAAAGAACAATTTAGGCCAATTTACCTACCTTCCACCATTCCCCCCCCCCCGGTTTTTACCGGGCTGACCAAGCCGTCGTCCCGGGCTGGGTAATAAGAGAAAAGAAAGAGGGGAGAGGGAGGGAAAGAGAAGGGAGAGGAAAAGAAAAGGAAAGAAAAAGAAAAAGAGAAGAGAAAAATAAAGACAAGAATAAAAAGGAAGATATCATAATGACCAGACTCACAACACCCTGCAACCCCTTGTCCACTTCAAAAACTGTCATAACTCCTTTGATCTATGCTGCCCGATGGCGTAACCACTGGGGGACAAGGGGAAAATATCTATCTTTGAAAAATCTTCCCTACCCCTTTATAAATGCCCTTTTCATCCCCCTGAAAGTGCCTAAAAACCTCAAATTTCGCGCGCTTCGCCAACATGGGCCAATTTCCTCTAAAAATTGCACATTTTAGGGAGTTTTGATCAATTCCAACGAAATTAGAATTAAAAACACCGGGGGACAAGGGAAAAATATCCATCTTTGGAAAATCTTTCCCCACCCCTTGATAAATGCATACTCTGAAAGTGCCTAAAATTCTCAAATTCTTTGCGCGCATCTCTTGTTACGGTAGGCCAATTTCCTCTATAAATTGCACATTTTAGGGAGTTTTCAGCAATTCCGCAGAAATTAGAATTAAAAACACAAAAAAATATTTTGCGCGTTTCGGGCGCATTTTTTAAGGGCTTTTTTAGGTTTATCCTTTTAAGTTATTTAAACACATAGATAGGACTAATAGTCCCAAACTCAAGAAAAACAAATTTAAGATAGATCGTTTTAACCTAATAGAAGGGCCTCAATGTGTATTGATGATGAAAGAATATGTTTGTAATAAATAAAACCATGATAAAATGCATATATTTAGTTTCAAACTCACGTGTGTGGCCTATATTATAAATAAGGTAAGCCCTATGTCGTATTGTTTTCTATATGGAGAGTGGGGTGGGGTGGGTATGGTAAATTACTAACCGGGAAAATAAATACTCACTCTGACCCAAGGCCCCTGTTAGCGCCAATGTGTGCCCTTGTGCGGACAGGGGATGTCCCCCCCCCCTGAAGCTGGAAACCTTGTTTTTGCAAAATAATGATGTAATATTTGCTATTATAGGCCTAATCAATATATTCCTCATCAACCGATATAACCTTAAACATTCTTGGAATTGACATAACATTACTGATGTCGTACACACCCTTCAGTGTGAAATGTGGCTCTCTTTGCAAGCACATCTAACATCTAAGGAAAGAAGAGCTAAGTGTGTAAAGCTCCATTTTATCCCAAACATAGTCAAAATATTGGGGGATGATAAAATGGACAATCCCCCCCCCCCCTCCCGTTGTCAAATATTGGGGGATATATCCCCCCCGGGATCTACGCCTGTGTGATAGTGACTCTAGGGTGGTCGACATCAGGACATATCACCAACTTTAACCTTGCGGTTATGAAGCGCAAGCCAAGCCTCATTAATTCAGGAAAACAATGGTAGGCATAAAATGTCATTCAGGAATCCCCTGCATTACAATAGTACAGTTACACAAACAACAAAGACAAATAAACAGATTATAACAATAAATACACAAAAGGAAAAAGCAGCAAAAATAGGCTTAGACAAACAGGTAAGTCTTGAGTTCACGTTTAAAAAGATTAGGATCCGAGATATTTCTAATGTCAGTTGGAAGATTATTCCAATGTTTAGAAGCATAACAAGGAAATGAAAAACCTCAAATTCTCTTGTTGTAATGTGGTATAATGAAATGTACAGATGAAGAGAAACGTGTTGTACGTGTAGGGATTTTCAGTGATACAATTGGTTAGCCGAAAAACAGAATCATCAATACTAAAAGGATCCAAAGGATTAAATTTCAGGTATAGGCCTAATTGTAGATCATCCGCATAGAAATGAAAGTTAACATCATGCTTCCTGATTATCAGTGGGCTAATTAGGTATAATGTAAAAAAGCAGGGTCCAACCACAGAACCTTGTGATAAGTTGTGTAAGTAATCTGTTGTAATTATGAATAAAATAACGTAAAATATGAAAGAATAAAGGAAGAGGGAAGAATATGAATCCTTGCTTTGAAAAATGTATCCATTCGTAGAAGTCGAGTCTTATGCAGATAAGCCTATCCAATAGTGACGTTAAAGGGTCATGATCAGGACATACGTCAGACTTTAGATTGACGAAAATTAAAATTTGTTAAATACATCATTTAAGTCAGTGATGTAAGTCTACTGTTTTACTGTACTGTGTGATTGATCTTTTTAGGAATCGCTTCAAAATTGAGGGGCGCTTATTCATACGGGGCACTTAAGAAAATGTTCACGTTAGGGGCGCTTATTTGCGCGAGAACGGTAGTTGTCTTAGCCACAGTAGACCGAATTATTCACCAAAGATGACGTCATCACATTTCAGCCGAGTGGGTATGATTTTGTCAACAAACAACAAATAGCCATGCTAATGCAATTAACGGGGTCGAAAGTGGTGTTTATTAAATCGTCTAATACGTAATGAAGATAGCATATAGGCTAGGCCTATACTTTTTATAACAACGTATACATTTTGAATGATTTATATATTCACGAGTCTAAGGTTGATTTGATTTACAATTTCCATTCAGACTAAAAATATGAAGTGTTTTTGAGACTCCCTCAAGGGCGCTGGCCAACCGCTCTCGGGACCTCACCACATCCAGCGTTGACTATAGGCGATATCTGTTGGTTTAGAGGTACACGTTGAGCTTAAATACTGTCACCAAGTCATTTTCTTGCAATTTCTGTATGAAATATTTAAACTATTAGACAAACCTAAATTGCTGAATAATGTAAATAAGATGTTTCTTTTGACTACGATGGCCAATGAGTCAGAAGAACGTTGTTTGCTAGTATAGGGCTAGGCCCGTGTTCACGCGACGAGGCTGCAAACATGTTCAAGTTTTCCATCTGTATATTTCACTCAATTTTAAATCTAATGGGTCAAAATTCTGACGTTTATTAAAGAAATATTTACCAAGACTTTCGATAAGTTGTTTTATGATAAAATGTAAAAATATATAAAGTTCGAGGAGTTTTAAAACTGTCGAAATTTAGT